ATCATAATAGGTGTTTACAATTAAAATGAGTCTGACTTAATTCATTAATAACAAATTTTCCAGTAAAATAATCATACCAGCTAACCATCTGAATTGCATGAGAAAGATATGTTTGTAATATAAGAAGAAGGAACATTTTCTTTCAAATAGTTTATTAGATTGATATTTTCATATAAAAAAAGATATTTGATTTAAAAAAAAAATCGTTAAATAACAGAAAAAATGAATAACATAAAATTTATCCTAATTCCATGTAGAAAATTTATTTTTATCACCTTTAAAACTATAAAAAAAGGGAGAAAAAACAAAAAAACAAAAAGGGAATTTGCAGATTTGGATGGAAGAAGAACGAGAGCAAGTCATTCATATTTTAATAGAAGCTTCACTTGATGGAACAAAACAACAACAAGCATTAGAATTAATGGAAAAATGTATTATATGGCCTGATTATTGTGATTTATTATTAACTGCATTAGAACGAAGTCATAATAAACCAGAAGAAGAAATGATATGTGTACTACTTAAACAAGCAATTAATAAAAATAAAAGACTTAGAGAAAGAGAAGCAACAGAAATTATTTTAAACAAATTAGAAGAAATACCCAAAACAGGAATTCTTGTATTAACACACATTTTTTTAATTACTAATGATGAAATAAGAACATTAATATTTAATTGGATTATTAATAACCATCAGTTAAATAGTAGTATTCAATTAGTATCAATGATTGTTAATGATTGTTATGCAAGTATTGGAGAAAGATTTCATAAAGAAATAACAATTATTATTAAATTAATTATTCCTAAAATATTAGAAGATAATCCAACAAATACTATGGCTATTGTTAGTACTTTAAAAGAAATTTCATATTCACCACCACAAGAATTTCCAAATTTATATATTGATCTTTTAAAACTTTTATTACCTCGTGTTCAAACAACAAATTATGAATTAAAATTAGCAATAGGAAAATTTATTAGTGAGTCTCCTTTTGTTTTATCTCAATCTCCAAGTGATCTTCTTGAACCAATGTTACAAGCATGTAATTGTTTAATTAGTGATGAAAATGAAGAAATATTTATCAGTGGTTGTGATCTTTTAGAAGCTTTAATTTCACGTTATCCAGAAAAAATTGATCCATTTTCATTTAAAATTCTTTTACCAAGAATTGTATTAAATCAAAAAGAAGAAGCAGAACTTCTTGAAGGAAATAATGATGAAGAATTTGAAATATCTTCAAGAACTTCTGTTAAAAATTTATTAGAAGTTGCAATGAATTATTATCCTCAATTAATTTTTATTATTTCACCTATTGTAATTGAAAATATTCAATCATCTAATTGGCGTATTGCTGAAGGATCATTACATATTCTTACTTGTTTACACCAAAATATGAATGAAATTATTTTTCAACAATTTTTTAAAAATATTGCAACTATTTTATTAAATCAATTAAATACTCCTTTTCCTTCTAATTCTTCAATAATTCTTTTACATAAAAAAATTATTGAAATATTAGGAATGTATCTTCAATATTTTAATCAAAATGAACAAAAAACTTGTATTACTATTCTTTTTACTTCTTTATCTTCTTCAAACAATTTACTTCTTTATAGTTCTTTAAATGCTTTTCTTGATTGTGTTACTAATTCTCCTCAACTATTAATTCCATTTGCACGTGATATTTATCTTGCTTTAGTACAAAAATTAATTCAGTATAATACTCAATCTTCAAATATGGCACTTGATCTTCTTCAAGACATTGTAAATATTACTCCTTTTATGACTCCTGATTTATTACATCTATTAGTTTTACAAACTGTACAATTAACTCCTAGATATCTTAACGATGATCCACTTATTGAACAACTCTATGTAACAACTTCATACATTGTACAAAAAACTAGAGATATGAATGTTGAAGATATTCTTCCATTACTTCAATCTGTACGTGAAGTATTACAATTTAATTGGAAAAGAGGAGTAGATGATGGAGCAGTAGCAAGTTGTATTCAAACACTAGATGTTATTGGACAAATAACAGGGTGTGGAGTATTAGTTCATTGTGGTATTTCAGAAGTAATTTGTTGGGGAGTAAGTAGAAAAGAAAGAAGAATTCAAGTTGCTTCTTTAATGCTTGCAGGAAGAATATTTGATAATGATATTCACTCTATTGATTCCCAACATTTATCAGTATTAGCAGAAAAGATGATTGGTATTTTAGAAAATGGGTTACATGAAGGAGTAGTTTATGCAATGTGGGATCTTTATTTATTAATATCAAATTTACAAAATAATGTTTCTTGTCTTTTTAAAAGAGTAATAGATGCCACTATTTCTGTGTACAATAAAAATGTTTTGATGAAGCCTGTTGTTTTAAAAAAGAATATTGTCGTTATCTTAACAACAATTGGAGGACTAAATCCTTCATTAATAATTCCTTATTTACCAATTATTACAAGTGAAGATTTATTACCTCATGTTATTTCTATTCCAAATGAATCAATTCGTTTTAATGTTTTAAGGCTTATTGGTCTTTTAATATCTACTGCACCACAACAATGTGAAAGAAATATTTCTTGTATCTCTCAAGTTTTTAGTAATGCGCTAAAGATGTTTCCACATTTAAATGATGTCTGGATTAAAATTCAACAGTCTTTCATTCATTGATCAATTCAATAATTAAATTTCTCAACTTCTTTTTTCTGTTTTTCTTTTTTTTTGTTTTTCTTTAAAATAACCTCTTTTCTTTGAACTAAATGCATAAAATTAATTTCATTGCTTCCATATCAATACTGAAATACCTAAAATAATGCAACTTAAAGAAACCCAAGCAGATGCTCGTTCTCCAAGACGTGCTGCTTTCCACATTAAACCTGGTACTCCTTCTTTTTTTCCATCCATAAAACTTCTAACAAATCCAATATTTAATCTAAGATATGTGCATGTACAAATGAATAAAATAATTACTACCATCATTGATTGAAAATTAAACAAAGCAGTCTATAAATGAGTTTATTTAAATTATTTTCATTAATTAAAAAAACGCAAAAGCCATTCAAACCATTTGTTCTTTATTATATTTTTTTTTTTTAGTTTTTTCCCACGAATTTTTTAAGATTTTATTAATTTTTAAAAATAAATTTTTTTTAAATTATTCAATCGAAAAATTGTTTTAAAGATGTTTCTTGAACTAATTCATGTTCATGGAGATTTAAAAATAGTTAATAATGAATTCTTTAAAATTTCATATTCAGCAATGCAGTTATTTAATGATTTTCCTAATTGTAATTGGTTTTTAATTAATCGAAAGATACTAAATGGAAGTGAGTTATAATCAAAATTATATGATTCGTATTGAAAAGGGGTTTTAAGAGTATGAATAATAGAAGTAGATAATTCTTTTGTATTACCAGATAAATAAGATTTTATTAATACATTACTAAGCTCATGAATATACTTCAACCCACTAAAACAAAGAGTTGTTTGGAGGACTGGAATATGATTGGTATATTTCATTATTTCATTTTCTATATTCCAAAAAAGACGTGTAAGAGGTAAACAAAAATTAGCAATTGACTCTTTAATATACATTACTTCAATTCTATGTTTTTGTAGTACACTTTCATCAATACATTCTTTATAACTTTCACATAGAATAAGTAGTGCTTGTCGTTTTTCCATATTATTTTCTCTTTTCTTTTGGATATTTTTAATAAGTGATTTTAAAATCCATTCATTAATTGCTTTTTTAGTTATTCCAAATTGGTTTTGAATAAAATAATGCTCTTCTGGAAAAAGTAATTTTAGTTGTTGAATTATTTCTATTGGACAACAACATAATGTAGGTACTAATATTCCTTCTAAATCAACACCAATAAATAATGGAGAATACCTTGACTCTCTTGTTAATTTATTTCCTCCAATTTGAGAACATCCAACAATATCTCCACATCCAATTAAATTAATTCCAAATTCATCACAAAGAAATACATAAGATGGATCAAATCTCTGAATAACACTTTCCCATTTTTCAATAAATTCATTAATTTCATTGTCATTTGGGAAAGGTGGGTTTATAGAACGGAGTATTGTTCTATCATAATATTGACAATTATCATTCCAATTTTCATTATATTCTTCATAAAACAATTTAATAACATCATAAGGAATAATAATATTTCTTTGAGAAAGAGATTTTAATTTTAATTCTATTGGAGATTCTTGTCCATCAGAATCTAAGTCAATTATTTTTAATGATAAATCTTTCTTTTTTAATCGTTTGTTTATTGATAATTTATTAATATTATTATTAATAAATTTATTAAAAAAATTATCAGCATTTTGTATCATTGAAGTTGTTAAATCTTCACCATTTAAAAAACAAATCGAATAACTTTCAAACAATTTTTTAAATTCTTGAGAATTAATGAGCATTTCAATAACTTGTCTAATAACATTTTTCCTTCTTTGTTTAATAAAGTTTTTTTGAGAAGGAACATCTTTATTAAAGCGTGTTCCGAATAATAAAAATAATGAATTGATAGGATCAGAATTGTCTAATATTCCATAAGGAATATAAAATACTTTAATATAACTACTATTTATTTCTTTTTGAATTTTATCAAACAAAGAATGATAATATTCATTAACAACTATTAATGCTTCAGTTTTATTATATTGGTACAATGAGTGATTTATTGTTGGTATTAATTCTGTTTTAATCCAATATAAAATATCATTATTTAATAATGACTCTATTTTAGATGCTATTTTATATCCATCTTTACTTATTCCATAATCATATGTATCACTATTTTGTTCATTTATAATATATAATGGTTTTAAAAATATTCCATTTGCATTCCCTCCAAATAAACAATTTGATATTTTTGATTCTCTATCAAGATATGCTATTGGATTCCCTGCAAAACAATTCATTTGTAATTCATCATATAATTGATACCCTATTTCATCAAAAAAGAATATACAATTTCTATCATATTTCATTGAAATTTGTTTTAACATCATTCTTGTTTTTTTAACTTCTTCTAATGAAGATATCCCTACTACCACTTTTCTTTTTTTATTAGTTAATCCGATTGTTTGAAGTTGTTGAATAATTTCTTCATTACTAAAATCTAATTTATTCTCTTTAATGAATGAGTTGACAGTATCATCAAAAATTGCAATATTCTTTTCACGTAAAGTTAAACTAAATGACGATAACTCACCCATCTTATTCTCTTTTTTTTTTCAGTTTTTTATTATTTTTCTTGTTTTTACTTTTATTCTTTTGGTATTCTT